CAGCATTTGCTGATACAAAAATATCTAACTCTACCACGCGCCATATAAAAATCTCTCTAGACTAGCTCGACGTTTGCATGGTGTTGAAGGGCATTTCTATCTTCCTTCTTTACCTGCCAAAGTTTATGTCAAAACTCAGAAGGCATAAGTAGAAGAGACTTCATTTTATTAAATTCAGCGAATTTAATTTTTTGTTAATTTCATAGTCAGCATTCATATAAATATTGATGCTGATGGCAGCTAGCGATAAAAACCATTTTTGTTGACCTCAAATCAATGCCCTAGCTAGAGAGGACTTTGGTCTCCATTCATTTGAAGTTCGTATAGAAAACACATAGCCACAACTAATAATCTTAATTAATTTGAAGTTCAGAACAATTTTTTCATGAATTATTGTTTAAGATAAAAGAACAAAGTTTACCTTACTTCAAAATTCTATTGGGAGGATTGTTGTACGCATAGCTAAAGCAAAAAATAAATAATGATGGGACCACGACTAATGATACCCATTACGTGCCCCATCCTTGCATCATCATCATCACTTTACATGCACAGAAATCTATGCGACATATTGTGATTCCAAATGATGCTTGTGTGGGTCAGTTCCCATGCATGGATTGGATACGCTTTGCATTGGAAAAGTGAAAGCATCCAGTCATTTCTTCATCAATGGATAAACGACACACGCCTGATCATCGGTTGGTCATGGCCAGATTTAGACCAAAATCTTTGAAATAATAAAAAATCGAGAGTTATTTTTGACTGATGAAGGTTTCAATTTTTTACGGATTCAATCAGGTTTTAGGTTAATGGGTTTGAGAAGCTTTTTCTTGTGCCTCTATCGTTGTTCTTTACGGGTCTCTGTGTCACTTTTGTTGGGAGAAATTGTTGAATTTTAGATCTCTGCATTACTACTCTTATTAACTAGAGCAAGGAGCGAGGAGCTTCACAGTAGGGATGACCATTACAGGGAAAGATTGAAGAGAAGAGGATGTTTGTGGAGTGAAATAGAAGAAGTAGAAGAAGATAAATATGATGAATAATGAAGAAGATGAAGAAGATTAATAATGAAGAATATGAAGATGAAGACGAAGAAGATGAGCGGTCGGGTTCGGGTATATCAGATGAAAAAATTCTAACATCAAACTCGATTGTTCAAACTCATTTGAACCCAAAATTTACACCCAGAAAAATCCAAAATTCACACGAAACAATCTTTTTCGTCAAATTTGAGCATTGATCTGGTCAGTTTCGAATCGGTCAAAAAATTTTGCCCAAACCTATCTTATACCAATTTTTTATTTCTGCATAGTAAAACCATAAAGGGAATGTCATGGCTATTGATTCAGGCGTTGTATTAGCGGTTCATTGTATCAGAAAAAATATGTTATCGATTAATTTTAATTATTTTTTTATCTTGTTAATGTTTTTTTTTGTTGATTTATTTTAATTAGTATTTTTTTTTAATAAAACACATGTATACCTTCATCAAAAATAATTATGTTCGAGTTGTGTACTAAAATATCAAAATTTTCTCTCCTAGTGTTCTTAACATACAATCGCACATCCATAATTTAAATACTAAATCACTAATTAGACATAAATAACCTCATGCCAAGCTTTTGTGTTAATTAGTATAAAGAGCGGGATTATGTGTAATGCATTGAAATATATTTTGTTTTTATAAAAAGCTCAATTGATGGTTGCATGATCCGAATTTTAAGGTTTTTTTTACAATAACCAAACGTTTTCTCACCATTAATACTTCATTTTCTCCTTTATATAAGAAATAAATATTATATTTATAGGTTTTGTTGTTCTTTATTTTATTTTGTTATAAAAATAGAAAAAATTACAAAAATAATTATAATGGAGATCGCATGTAAGTCTTTATATTTTCACTATTCCAACTCTTTCTTTTCAACTACTAGGTTAATCCTAGTAGTTTTATGCATTTTATTGTTCAATTTATAATAATTGTAGACTCACTATTTGAGGTGTCAAAGGTTGGGTCTGCTTGACTTATCTTGACATACACAAGATAAATATTATTTTAGGCTAAATTGACTTTACTTATATTTTTTTCAACTACATTTTTGACCTGACTTAACCTATGTTAGGCCTAATTAAAATAATACATTAATATATATATATATATA